GAAATATTTTTTTGCTATATCAATTTGAAAAGGGGTGGTAGTTCCACTTCAAAGTAACTAAGGAAGGTAATAAGATTCTCATATAGTTAAAAGATCTTACGAAGCAAAAGAAAAGGGTATTTTATATATTTTATATGTTTCTTTTTGTGTGGGGAAGGGGGCTAGGGTCTTTTTTCAAGTGTATTTACATGAGGAATATGAAAAAGAACTTTGTGATATTAATTTCTTAAAAGAATTAGTACTAACTTTGACTAATGGAACATTGACTATTAAAGTTTTCTAAAGTGATTAGCTTCCTCAAAATCTTCTTCTTTATATAGGAAAGATTTTGGGTAACTTTTCAAGATAGCAATTGATTTGTTGAATAAGTTTTTTTGCTTTTCTTTGTATGGTTGAAATAATGCCTCTTTTTTGCCTTTTTCTTCTAATGGATTATCTAATGCTATATAGTCAAATGAAATTGAAAACACTTTTCATTCTTAATTAAGAAAAAAGGTGATGTCTTAAAAGTGCTCATGTCGCTTTAATTATAAAATCGGCTACTCATCGAAATTAGAAAACACTTGTCATGGAAAGATAATCACACTTCGATTACTTATGAATGATCTTTTCTACGTGTAATTGCTGAATATTTAACCTTAAAGTATTCATATATTAAAGAATATAAAAAACTTTCATATATCAATTGCTTGCAAGTTGCAACATTGACTATTAAAGTTTCATGTCTAATCTTGTTTATTTTTTCTAAGAAAGTGTTTACCTATCTCAAAATCCTCATTTCTTTAAAGAAGAAAGATTTTGGATAGGTTTTGCTTTGGATGGTTGAAAATAATAGTCTCTTTTGCCTTTTTTCTTCAAAAGATGATTTGATGCTAGAGTCAAATAGAATTGAAAAAGATTTATCTTTTTTATTTATATAAATGAGGTGACATTTTGAAAGTGTGGTTAAATCATAAAATGAGTTGTTTATTGAGTAAGAAGATGATATCATAATCTTATGAATAATAGCGGAGTCAGAAATTAACAAAATAAAATTGTGCTATTAGGGTTCGAATTCAAAACTCCTTCATTCAAATGGACATTCAATACTACTATACCAAAGGGAAACTTTTGTCAAGAGTGTCCAACTTTAAATATATATCTTTTAAATGTAGAATTTGACATATATATACAACATAATTTTCTGACGAAAAGTGTCCAGTTGAACACCCTGAGGTGGCTATAGCTCCCCCCTGAGCCTGAGTGGTAATCTTTTTGTATTAAAATCAAATTTAAAGAATTTGATCAAACAAGCTATTAGTAGCATCTTCAATCAATCTTTGTTTAGTGGGCCTTATTGTTTGTTATGGGCCCTGAATAACTCTGGCTAATGTCATAATCTTTTGGGCTTTACACTTTTCATGTCACTATGGGCTCAAATAAGTCCATTATTTGCACCTTGAGATACAAAATTTTGGAAAACTTTAAAAAAATTCGAGGAATTGAAACAGATAGACAACCGTTACGTACAATTGGCAACATATAGTCCAATATTAATTAGCAATTAATAAACAAATAAAAAATAAAGCAAATTTTAGGAATAACAAACATAAAAATCATATTAGCGCTCTATAACTACAGTTTTGCTATTTGTGCTTTGATTCGCAGACATCTCATTTGTATAAAATCGCAACAACTGTATATGTATATCAGTTAGATAATTGTATATATGTAACTACTATATATATGTATCAATGATTGTGTTTGTGTATCTTTGAATTTATATACAATTAAATCGAGTTAAAACATTTGCATTTGTCTATCAAATATATCTCTCTCGCTTTATGCAAACACAAATTATACACAATCTATAATTTGTGTTTGTATAAAGAGAGAATGAGAGAAAGAGAGAAAGAGAGAAAGATAAAAGAGAACTAGACAAGGGGGAATTTGTATTTGTATAATTCTAAGTGTATAGGACAAAGAAATATGTATTTGTATTTGTATATATAGTTCTCTCTCGCTTTATACAAATACAAACAATATTTATACATTTGTGTTTGTATCAAGTGAGACAGGCGAGCCAGAAAGTGGCGAGCGAGATTCCAAAGAGTGGCGAACGAGATTCAAGGGAGAGAGGCGAATGACAATGTGTTTGTTACGAATTAGAATTAAATGAAACTATAGCTATATCATTTATTTTGAATTAATAGTTTGCTCTAATGCACAATTTTTCCATAAAAAAACTGGCACATATTAGCCTAAATATATCGACATTTTTAATTTTTTTTAAAAAATATTTAATATCATCTCTCTTCTAACTTCCAACCATTTCTCCTTAAAACTAGCAAAAGATTATTCAAAATAATCTGCTATCAAATTATTTAGTATTTTTTTTTTGCGATTTTTTTTTTAAAAAAGGGCTATTTATTGCCAATTAAGTCTATAGGTTGTCATACTATTCTTATTTTTTTAAAAAAATAATAGGAAAAACGATGGAGAAAATGTTTCATTATTTTAAATTCAATTATGTCATCATATAATAGGGTTGCTACTTGATATAAATATCGAGTGTGAATTTTCTTTTAAATAATCACGAAAACATTATATGAATGTTCATGTTAGATCACTCCTCATACCTTTGTGAAAGAAAAAAAATTGTATTTAAAATAATTCACGACATAATAGTTAAATGTTTGATATAATTTAATATTTTGCATGAACGTATTTTCATGAATAATATGTTAGTTAGGAGAATCAATTTCTATTATTTGATTATGAGTAAAGTTTAGTGACAAACAAAAATAAAGTAAGTGTATGATTGTTAATATCCGCATATTAATTGAAGCAAGTGATATATATGAAGTATTTAATGATAAGTATTATAATTGATAACTTGATAAAAATAATAACATGCCGTGATAGTTATCTATTAGTTTGAACTTAGACATATTTATCAATCAACTTATAAACTAAACTCATTATAAAAATTTATTAATATTATTATGTTACCACATATCAATAATCTGAATTTTTACGCAATTATTATCATAAATATGAAAAATTGAATATCAAATATAAAAAAACTTGAAAAGTCACGGAAGTTAATAGTAAAACAATCTTAAAATATAAAATCATTATTGAAAAAAGTTTAACGTTTTTATTAAGTTACAAACTAATCTTATTGTAGAAGTTTATTTATATTGTTATCATATATAAATAAGGTAGCTATACATTTTAATGTTTTGTGTATCTATTACCATAAACATAAAAAAAAAAAAAACTAAGTTCAACAATTAAAAAACTTGGAAGGTTGGTGTGTTGATAAGAAAAAAAATCTTAAAATTATAAGAGCCCGTTTGGATTGACTTAAAAAAAGTAACTTTTAAAAAGTAACTTTTTAAAGTGCTGGAACTTATTTTTAAAATAAGTAGTTATGTGTTTGGATAAAAGTGTTGCAGTTGAAAAAAAAGTTGTTGATGTGTTTGGCAAATAAATGCTGGTAAACACTTTTTTTTATCAAAATGTCTGAAATACCCTTTAAGCTGTTAACATAATAAAAAAATGATTAATTTAAGGTTTTTATACTTAAAAAAAAAAATTAAAACAAAATTAATTTATGTTTTACATCCATAAGTAATAATATTTTTCTATCATTCACATATTTCTTTACCACCTTATAAGAGGAATATAAATTCATATTTCAGAAATAATAATAATAATAATAAAATAATAATAAAATAATAAAAAAAATAATAATAATAAAATAATAATAGTAATAGTAATAGTAATAATAATAATAATAATATAATAATAATAATAATAATAATAATAGTAATAGTAATAGTAATAATAATAATTATAATAATAATAATAATAATAATAATAATAATAATTAATAATAATAATAATAATAATAATAATAATAATATAATAATAATAATAAAAATAATAATAGTAATATAATAATATAATAATAATATAATAGTAATAATAGTAATTAATATAATAGTAATATAATAATAATAATAATAATAATAATAATAAAATAATAATAATAATAATAATAATAATAATAATAATATTAATAATAATAATAATAATAAATAATAATAATAATATTATTATATATAATTATAAATTATTATAATAATAATAATAAATAATAATAATAATAGTAATAGTCATAGTAATAATAATAATAATAATAATAATAATAGTAATAGTAATAGTAATAATAATAATTATAATAATAATAAACATAATAATAATAATTTAATAATAATAATAATAAAAATAATAATAGTAATAGTAATAATAATAATAATAATAATAATAATAATAATAGTAATAGTAATAGTAATAGTAATAGTAATAGTAATAATAATAATAATAATAATAATAATTATTATTATAATTATAATTATTATAATAATAATAATAAGAATATAATAATAATAATAATAATAATAATTCAATATGGGCAATTTGGAAATTGTATAAAAGAATTAAGGGCAAAAAGGTAATATACTTGGTCAACATAAAAGTGCTTTTAAGTTAAAAAAAAAAAAGCTCCCCCCCCTAGCTTTTAGCTTTTGGCTTAAAATAAGTCATTTTTGACTTAAAATAAGTCATTTTGATAATTGTCAAACACTCTAATAAGTCAAAAACTGGCTTTTAAGCCAGTTTGACCAGCTTAAAAGCCCATCCAAACAGGCTCTAAATCACTTTTGAAAAAGTAACATTTTTATGAAGTTACAAACTAAACTTACTATAAAAATTTATTTATATTTTTACCATAAATATGAAAAATCTAAGTATCAAATATAGAAAATCTTTGAAAGTTGATAAGGAAAAATCTTTAAAATTATAAAAATCACTATTGAAAAAGATAGGTAACTGTCGTAACTGTTTTTATTTTGGATAAGGGGTCAATTCTTAATTTAACTGAAGTATAGGGACTTCATAGACAATAATATCAAATATATATGTAAACTGAAAAAGTGTAATATGAGTTTGTCCTTCGGTGATCTATTCGAAGAACTTTGCGAAAAAAAGGAGAAAAACGAGGAAGCGGTGAACAGAAATCAGACGGCACCGGCACCGGCAACGATAGGTGAGTTTCCGATTAGGTTTTTCCGGCGATATATTGTAAGTGTTGATGATTTGTAGCAGAGTTAAAGTTTCGTTGAGACTCAATTTTGTAAAATGGTTGCCCTTGATATGCTGAACTGAACTTATTTGTAAACGTAGAGAAGTTGTAATCGGTTGAAAAATTGAATTTTTTTGTAATGTTGGAGTGATATGAGTTTAAATTTAGCTACATGCATAGTGAATGATTAGTAATTTTGTAGAGATGAATTCGACTTGGTTGGGATTTGGATTGAGTAGTTGTTGAGTTACATGTTTGGAAATGGTAAGAAAAAATTGAATTTTGTTGTTTGTTCTCCTTTTTTTTTGGTTTATATGTTGGAAACATGTTCTCTACCTCAAAGGTACGAGTTTGGGGTAATGTCTACGTACATTTCTACTCTCTAAGATGTATCTCATTGGGATGTGGGCATTTTATAGGATCATAGAGTTGTGGTGGCTATGATAAAATGTGTCATTTTTTTGTTTTGATATCCATGGTGTTTGTGTCCGGGCGAGCTTGTGCATCTCCACTAATTTCACGAAGCACGTGTGAGACCTCTCACTAGTGCAAGTAGAGTCTCGGTAACTTTGTTCACCGAGGCTTGGACTTACGACAAGAAATCACATACTCCCTCCATCCCATTTTATATGAGCTAGTTTGACTTGACAGAAGTTTAAGAAAGAAAGTCTTTTGAAAATTGTGGTCTAAAATAAGTGATAACGTTTGTGTGGTTGTAAATCATTTTATTAAGGGTAAATTGGAAATTTTAAAGTTAAATTGTTACTAAATATAGACATGTGTTATTCTTTTTGGAACTGACTAAAAAGGAATGTGAGTCGTAAAAAATAGGACAGAGGGAGTAGTATTTTTGCCTTCACTTAGAATTGCATGATTAAGTGTGTCTTTTATGTTATAAATACCTTGTGATTCGATGAGAGAATACTTGTCATTAACAAGGTGATAGCAGTGTAGATGATGTTATATTTCCTTTAAGCTGAACTAATACAACAACAACAACATATTAGCCTAATCCCATAGGCTATATCTCTCCCATATAAAGTGCGACAATATTCAGGTACCTACTAACCTTCTACTCTAATTCTTCATCTCCACACCTTCCCATCTAAGTTCATGTTCTCAGAAGTTGAATTTGTATCACAGTTATTTTTCGGCTTTCGTCTACCTCTCCTAATTTATGCTACATCCAACCTCTTGCATCTCCTGGCACATCTACGCACATCCTCTTCACATGCGCACACTATCTTAGTCTCGCTTCCCTCATTTTTCTCGCCTCTAAGGCCACTCCCACCTTACCTCATATAACTTCGTTCTTAATAATGTCTCTCATGTGTATGCCCACACATCCATTTAAGCATCCTTATCTCCGCTACATTTATTTTTTGAACGTGGGCATTCTTAATTGGCCAACACTTTGCCCCATACAATAATGAGCAACACATTCTTCTCACAAAGTACCCCAGATGCAAGCTTCCATTTCACCCACCCCGCTCCAATACAATGTTCAACATCATTATAAATCTCCTTGTCTCCTTTGATTATGGACCCAAGATACTTGAAGCTTCGCCTCTTGGGTATGTTCTGTGCATTATTGATCTCTTGAAGCTTCCTCTCTAAGGTGAACTACTATTCGGAAAGATATCACGTCTACTAGAGATATATGGAAGCTATCTTGTACTGGTAATCTATAGCACCTTCTAATTGAATTGTTCAAATTGTCACAATGAGGTCATGCCTTCAAATAAATACAATTTCTACACCTGTTCAAAAAACAAATAGATAACATTCCTAAATGAAGCTATATTTGGGTTCTTTTAAGCTATAATTTCCTTTTATACCTTGACCACTGCTTGTTAGGGTATGGAAGATTAAGTTTTTGATCAATCAAAAATTTGCGAGCTATTGCATAGGAGCGGGGGTTTTACCCTGTGCGCATCCAAAGGGTAGCGGCTGCAGGTTTCCCTTGTCATCAAAAAAAAAAAAAACAGAAAAAAATAGTTTTTGTTCTTTATTATCCATTTTCTTGGAAGTAAACTTCTTTTATGCATTGTCCCTGAAGGGATGACGTAAAGTTATCTCTATAAACATTTCCGCCCGTGCCTCTTACAGGGAAAGTGAAGCAAAATTTTATTTTAATTTTAACATATTATACGAACTGCGCCTATCATGCATCTGTTGACACTGACAAAAACATGTATGTACTACGTAGACTTAGAATGATAGGCTTCAGTCCCAGCGTTATTTTTCCCTTGCACCCTACCTTTTTTCCTCGTATTTTTCTTCATATTGGAGACTATATGAGTCCTCTCTCTCTGTTACTATTTATTAGTCAGTTGGTTACATGATAGTAATTTGTGAGTTGGATTTTTTTTTAAAAAAATAAGTAGGCAATTAATAAAACTGTGTTTTAAGTGTGAAAAGCCCTTGCCTATCCCAAAACACGTTTAAAGATTCTCTTCATGTCCACCGACCCCTATACCCAAATTTTTAAAAAACATTCTAACTTTTCCCCAACTAACTTATGGTTTAAGTTTTCACATTGGAGAAGTGATTTTACATGCCAATTATTCTAAAACAAGTGTTACATGTCAATTATGACCAAGTTTTTATCCTTTGCTTTAATAAGTCAAAAGTCATTTGGATGTTAACGTTTACGACAGGATGGCATTTAAAAGCTTTACAGCTGACGTAAGTGGATTAGGTTGGAGTTTAAAAAAGGTATATCTAACTACATATGCACAGAAGGATCTTCTCTTTTCACCAGAAGAACATAATGCTCTTGCCTCTCCACATTGTTTTTTCAATGCCTTCACACACACACACACACACACACACACACACACACACATATATTCCTTTCTCTGCAATTCATCCAATATAAACATAGTGGTTTTCCATGCATCTTTTTCCCTAATATCCATCTTTCTCACCCTGTAAATTTTCCGTAGTTCTCCCATGGGTTTCTGTAGAACTCCTCAACAAGAAGTAAAGAAAGGTCCATACGCTACCACATAATGTTTTACTATGGTGAATTCATATGCTATGCTCCTCATCGGAAAACTAACTCGTACACAATGCCTTAGACGTAGTTTATATTCTACAACTGGTCTTGCAGAAAAGGAATAGATTAAATAGCTTGGGATCAAGAGAATGTCATAGCAAATTGCACAGTTTTGCATCTGCTTTGATCAATGTTTTTTGATTGGAGGTTGTAATATCTCATATTTGTTGATCAGACGGTCGTCATATCCTTTAATGGTGAACGTCAAATGTGCTGGAAATGCCGGCGAGACATGATTACATCTACCATGCAATATCGCAGCACTAATTGTAGGAGAGGAGATTGTGGAGGAAAAGTATTCTTCCACAAGTTGATTTTTCTGTTACTTCTCCTTTTCTGTCTCTTCTGTCTCTCTTTTGTCGAACATAGAAAAAATTGAAGTTTCAGATATGGTACTCAATACCATATCTCTAGTACCATGCAGAAAAGGGGAGAAAAGACGTCCGGGCAATATTTCAGCTTCATTGTTACGTCAAGCTAATTGGAGTTTAAACAGTGATGTACAACATCCTAAAATAGAAGGAATTCAAAGAGTACATAATTGCAAGCAAATAATCTTCTTAATTGATCCTAACTGATAATGAATCTCCCTAATTGAGCTTACGATATTTTCACAATATTCTTAACACATAGGGTTACTTGCATTTAGACATTTCTCCTTAACTGTACAACCTGCAGTTTGCTGTGGTTTTGCTTGATGCCATATTGTTGGGTCTTTTATATGTGTAGTACTAGCTTATTGTTTACTATTTATTTTTTGCGGTGCTTTGCTAATTACACCCTAATTATCTAGAAGTTACCTTAACATATCAGGTGCTATCAATTGTTATTTATTTTTGGTAGCAAGAGTTGAATTTTTTCTTTACCTGGCCTTGTCAACAGAAATTGCATCAAGTTTCTGCTGAGCTTTTTAACATTGGAAGATTGAAAAAATGTCTGGTGAGCAGGTTAGGAAAATCACGCGTGAAGATATACAACTGGTAAGCATTGTGCTACAATCATAACATTCGTTTTCTTGTTTCTCGGTATGAATCATTTAATAAGCCCTGAATCAAATGGAAAGAGATAGAGCAGGCACAATTTTCTTTGAGCATATACAGCAAGTTTTTTTTTTTTGGCATAAAAAAAAGAAAGTATTTGATTGAATTGCGTGGATAATTTCATAATCTGTAGATATAATTCTTGCTACTTATAACTCTTTCAGTTACTTCAAGGCAAAAGATACGTCACTCCCGCAAGAATTGTTGCCTAACCCTTTAAAATGTTGGTCAAAATTAACATAATTTAAATCTAGAAAACCGAAAAGTGCCACATAAATTGGGTCAGAGGGAGTGATCTTAACCTCGGCATGTGCATGGTTTAAATTTTGCTACATGCATAGTGAATGATTCGTATAGATGAATCCGACTTGGTTGGGATTTGGATTGAGTAGTTGTTGTGTTACATGTTTGAAAAGAGAAAGAAAAAACTGAATTTTGTAGTTTGTTCTATTTTTTTGTTTATATGTCGGAAACATGTTTTCTACCTCATACAAGGCAGGAGTCTGGGGTAAGGTTTGCGTACATTTCACCCTCCCGAGATGTTTCTCATTGGGATGTGGGCATCTTATAGGATCATAGAGTTATGGTGCTTTCTCTCCTAACAATGAGCTTCTTTGATTTCAGGTGCAAAATCTCATAGAAAGATGTTTACAGCTTTACATGAACCAGAAGGAAACTGTTGATACCCTCTTACATCAGGCAAAGATTCAGCCTAGTTTCACTGAATTTGGTGGGTCCTCTCTTTTTCTATTTTGTTCCTTATATTTTGTTAATAGTATGCTTTTGACTTTTTCAGAGTTTATCTGTACTCTCATTTCTTAAAATTTACTTAATTTGGAAGACAATGAATCTGAGGAAATAAAATAGAAAAACGATCTGTTATGAGAATTATTATGATGGAGTTAATTCCTTATATGGTCGGTCTTCCAAGTAATGGAAATAACCTAACAAAATCACTTTTGTTTTTTTATGATAAAAATCTTTCAACTATTACTTTATTCTTATAAAATCACCCTAGCCTTTTGAACTACTTAACTCACCTAATTTGCTTTGTTGGCATCATGAATTTCATTTTAATGACAAACCCCATTAATTGAACCTACCTAAGACCCAAAATCTGACCAACAAGAACATTAATAGTCTTAATTATACCGTGTTTACATAAAGATACAGTATCTTAATAATCATGTGGATATTTATATATTCTGATGTCTTATTCGTATTAAAAACAAATAAGGTCTAAGACTCCTTATTCTTTCAATTAAAGAAGAAGTTCACTAAAAATCCAACCTCGTCTTGTAACCTTCTTAAATACTATCACCAAATAATTATATTATACAATAAAGAACAATTAGTAATATATGAACCATATGCTGATTAATTTCATGGACAACCTAACAAATGACTGTGCCTTCTGTATCAGTTGATGTTGGCGCCAAACAAATAAAAATAAACACAAAAAAGAAAACTAGCCTCCTTTCTGTCATTTTATACTTCAGGCATGTCAGACAATCAGTAGCCAAATGATTATCCACACAAATGTAGCAGATTGAGTTTTATGATTAATGGACAGGTATTGTAATGATCTTCTGATGTTCGTGGAATACTGGAATTCCATACGATAGAATTTTTTGTTGGGTCAGATTTTGGGTCTTGGGTGGGTTCACGTAACGGGGTTTGTCATTAAAATGGGATTTAAGATTCCAACTAAGCAAAATAGGTGAGTATAATAGAAACTTAAAAGGCTAGGATAGTTTCATAAGAGATAAAGTAATAGTTGAAGGACTTGCTTGTGATAAAAAAAACAAAAGAGACTTTGTTGGGTTAGTTTGATTACTTGGATGACCATTTAAGGAATTAACTCTATTATGATGAATAGTAGGAAGAAAATTATTTGAAGAGGGATTATGGAAGGCATTCCTCCCCCTACTTCTATTCAGAGTAGTATTAGTTGTTGTTATAGAATATAATAGGTGTAAATATTATATCTTCCATATATAGCTAATTTAATTATAGGAGCAGATTCTTAGTTGATTTACTTTGATTAGTTTTCCTTTCATAGAAGCATAGTATTTGTATAAGAATCTTGTCTTGATGAATAGAAAGGAACAAGTCATTCTCCATATAATATAAGTTACATGGTATCAGAGCAACTGTCTAAGCTGGGATTTGGCTTTGCCGGAAGTCACTGTGACTTCGCCGGAAGCTACTGTGGCTTCGGGGAAGTAGTTGAGAGCTCTATCTTTCACCTTTGAATCTGGACACCATTTCTGTGTTAGAGAAATTGATTGTCTAAGTGTACTGAATCCATTTTGTGGCATCTGGGTTCGGATTGAAACTCTAAAATCTGAAGCTTGATTGTCTGCCTTTCTCGAGTGAAGCTGGTGCTTCAAAATTCTGGAAATTCAAGAAGGGTGCTAAGAATATTTGTGGGAGATCTGTTTGTGAACTCAAATCTGAAGCTTGAGTCATTCTGGAGCTGTTTCGATAAGGTTATTTAGTCGGAACTCGAAACTTTCAAACGCAGTATCAAAGAAGACGACCTGTCCATCCTTCTAATTTTTGGGTTGCTGTCCAGAAAATCTGTTGGCTTCTCAGACATTGTTGTTTTTTCCGGTCAACATCCCCTTCGTTTCTGATTATTCGGCCAGATTGGTCTTGGAGCGGTCAGATCTGGTTAGTCATTTTATTTTGGTGATTGTATTGTCTTTTCTTTGGGATTATAGTCTGTTTGGGACTTGTTGGTTTGTCCACCAATTCATTTTGGTACCGTGAGCGTTTTGTTGGGAATATGACTGACTGTAATCAGGGAACTCAAAGGTTTGATAAAATGATTTTGATTTCCTCAAAGGAGTTTGCTGAATTCTCTCGATATCAGAAATTATTGAAGGAATCCACCTCAGTTAATGCCTTTACTAAATCAGATAAAACATGTCTAATCACCTCTTCAAATAAATGGGTGATTGATTCAGGTGCCTCAAATCACATGACCGGTAATTCTAACATTTTTACTAGTTTTCAGTCACACAAAGCTCCCTCTCCGGTTACTGTAGCTGATGGATCAACTTGTAACAGTGATGGATATGGGACTGTTAAACCAACCTCCACTATTACCTTGTCATCAGTATTAAGTCTACCAAAGTTGGCCTTCAATTTGATTTCTGTTAGCAAAGTTACCAGAGACCTTAATTGTTATATTTCGTTCTTTCCGGATCATTGTTTGTTTCGTGATCTTAAGACGAATCAGGTTATTGGTAAAGGACATCTATCTGACGATCTCTATATTTTGGATGAATGGGGGCCTCAGTTTGTTGCCTGCTCTAGTGTTGTGTCTCCATTTGAAGCACATTGTCGATTGGGACATCCATCTCTACCTTTGCTAAAGAAGCTTTGTCCGCAATTCCAAAATATTTCTTCATTAGAATGTGAGTCATGTCGATTTGCAAAAAATCATCGCAGCTCATTAAGTCCAAGGGTTAATAAGCGGGCTGAGTCAGCTTTTGAGTTGGTTCATTCTGATGTTTGGGGACCATGCCCTGTCATTTCCAAAACTGGGCATAAGTATTTTATTACTTTTGTGGATGATTTTTCTCGTATGACTTGGATTTATTTCATGAAGAGTCGCTCAGAAGTGTTTACTCACTTTTGTGCCTTCTATGCTGAAGTCAAAACACAATTCAATGCTTCGATACGTATTCTAAGGAGTGACAATGCTAAAGAATATATGTCAGAATCATTTCAATCATACATGAGACAACACGGTATTCTCCACCAGTCTTCATGTGTTGATACACCCTCTCAAAATGGAGTTGCTGAGAGGAAGAATAGGCATCTACTTGAGACAACTCGAGCACTTTTGTTCCAAATGAAGGTTCCTAAACAGTTTTGGGCAGATGCAGTCTCTACGGCTTGTTTTCTGATTAATCGTATGCCATCCACTATTCTTGCTGGTAATGTGCCTTACAGTGTTCTGTTTCCAAACAAGTCACTATTTCCAGTAGAACCTAAGGTGTTTGGAAGCACTTGTTATGTTCGAGATGTTCGACCATCTGTCACTAAGTTGGATCCAAAGGCATTGAAGTGCGTTTTTTTGGGTTATTCTCGTCTTCAGAAGGGTTATCGATGTTATTCTGCTGAACTTGGCAAATATTTGGTATCAACTGATGTGGTATTTTCAGAGGCCACCTTTTTTTTATGCACCTCCTATTTCTACAAGTCAAGGGGAGGAAGATGAGTGGTTAGTCTATGAGGTCACCCGTGTTTTGACAAAAGAATCAAATATTGTCCCTCCATCTCTCAGATCATCTATTGAGGATCAATCGGATACTGTACCATCAGCTCCTGCACCATCTACGGTAGTAAGACCCCCGGTTGTACAAGTTTACTCGAGGAGGCGAGAAGCCATTGATACATGTTCTGCACCAGTCCCTTTGTCATCAGATCCTCATTCGTCTGATCTTCCAGAAGATCTTGATCTCCCTATTGCTATTCGCAAAGGTACACGTAGTTGCAAATCTCCATACTCCATTGCTAATTTTGTTTCCTATGGTCATTTATCCTCTATGTCTAGATCTTTGATTGTTTCTCTAGACTCTATCGTTGTTCCTAAGACAGTTAAGGAAGCCTTGAGTCACACTGGATGGTATAATGCAATGCTTGAGGAGATACATGCACTAGATGAGAATCACACTTGGGACTTGGTGGATTTACCAAAAGGAAAGAAGGCAGTGGGATGCAAATGGGTCTTTGCGGTCAAAGTTAATCCAGATGGCTCTGTGGCTAGACTTAAGGCTCGACTAGTGGCTAAAGGATATGCTCAGACTTATGGGGTGGATTATTCAGACACATTTTCTCCGGTGGCTAAACTCACTTCTGTTCGCTTATTTATTTCCTTAGCTGCATCTAAGAATTGGCCGTTGCACCAGCTAGATATCAAGAATGCATTTCTTCATGGTGATCTCCAAGAAGAAGTGTATATGGAGCAACCACTTGGATTTGTTGCTCAGGGGGAGTATGGTAAAGTTTGTCACCTAAAGAAATCCTTGTATGGTTTGAAACAAAGCCCTCGTGCTTGGTTTGGCAAATTCAGTGAAGTAGTTCAGGAATTTGGGCTGAAAAAGAGCATGTGTGATCACTCAGTCTTTTATAAACAATCAACAATTGGCATTATTCTTCTTGTGGTATATGTTGATGACATTGTTATTACAGGAAGTGATTATTCGGGGATCTCTTCACTCAAGTCATTCTTGCATACTAAATTCCACACAAAAGATTTGGGACAACTAAAATATTTTTTGGGAGTAGAAGTAACTAGAAGCAAGAAGGGAATCTTTCTATCTCAGAGAAAGTATATCCTTGACCTACTTGTGGAAACTGGAAAGTCCGCAGCCAAACCTTGTAGTACTCCAATGGTCCCTAATGTGCATCTGACCCGTGATGATGGCAGCCCCTTTGATGATCCAGAGAGATATAGGAGGTTAGTAGGGAAACTAAACTATCTCACAGTAACACGTCCAGATATTGCTTTTGCAGTGAGTGTTGTTAGTCAATTCATGTCTGCACCTACAGTCAAACATTGGGAAGCCTTGGAACAGATCTTATGCTACTTGAAAAGATCCCCTGGACTTGGCATTTTATATGGTAACCACGGACATACTCACATTGAGTGCTTTGCTGATGCTGATTGGGCTGGATGTAAAACCAATAGACGATCTACTACTGGTTATTGTGTCTTTGTTGGTGGTAATTTGGTGTCATGGAGAAGTAAGAAACAAGGTGTTGTATCGCGATCCAGTGCAGAATCTGAATATAGAGCTATGGCGCAATCCACATGTGAGATCATGTGGATACATCACATATTGACAGAAATTGGAATGAGACATTCTACACCAGCAAAACTCTGGTGTGATAATCAAGCTGCTCTTCATATTGCCTCAAATCCTGTGTATCACGAAAGAACAAAGCATATCGAGGTAGATTGTCACTTTATTCGTGAGAAGATCCAAGATAACTTGATTTCCACCGGTTATGTAAAGACAGGAGAGCAACTAGCTGATTTGTTCACAAAGGCGTTAAATGGAGCTCGAGTTAATTATCTTTGTGACAAGCTGGGCATGATCAACATCTATGCTCCAGCTTGAGGGGGAGTGTTATAGAATATAATAGGTGTAAATATTATATCTTCCATATATAGCTAATTTAATTATAGGAGCAGATTCTTAGTTGATTTACTTTGATTAGTTTTCCTTTCATAGAAGCATAGTATTTGTATAAGAATCTTGTCTTGATGAATAGAAAGGAACAAGTCATTCTCCATATAATATAAGTTACACAATCAGAAATAAAATATTTAAGCTTATTCTGATGGAGTTGAAAAATGTATGAAATTATTGTTAGTATTTGTTTTAAAATGTGTTTGGCCTGTCTTATCTCGAGTAGTTGATGGTTGTGATCTATGTGCTTCATGTGTCTACGGGGAGTTAATTTGACATCTTGATCTCTTTTCCAGTGTGGCAAAGGCTTGAAGAAGAAAACCATGAGTTTTTCAGGGCTTATTATACGAGGTTGATAGTAAAAGATCAAATTACGAGATTCAATGAGTTGCTTGAGAGACAGGCTGAGTCAATGCGTATGTATGCAACTGAATCCGTTCCTGTGTCTAATGGATCTCAGATTCAACCAGGTAAGATATGAATTCATAGATTCCCTATTGATCTTCTTGGAAATAATTATTATGCCTGTGTTTTTCTTTTCCATCATAAAATTTGTTATAGTTTCCCACTCTTTTCCAATTTTCAGCTTCCTTGCTTTGTATTTTCATACAATAGAATAGGATTTTAGGTTGGATAGTCAAAGAAAGGTTTGAGGGTTTAAAGTGGCAGATCAAAATGTGAATATTAGGGATAGTTATGGGAAGGATTTTTTCAGGAAAAGTGTCCCAGAGGATCTGTCTTTCGGCACTGTGATTGCCTTTTCAACTTGAGATCATTCATACTTGTTGAAGTTGGTGAATATGATAAAATTCTTTTCTTAATTTTGATAAGTAAAATTGAGTAAAAGTTTGAGAGAAATGGAGGAAACAAATGAAGTTTAGGCTTCATCCAAATCATCGACATCGTAGTCTCAAAATCTTCCTTTAGTTTCTAGATGCATGTCAGAAGTGAGATACCCATGGTATGTATGTTATTATTTTAGTTTCCCTTTTTTATTTCGTTTAGATTCAGAGTGAAGGAGTGTACATTGCAACCCTGAAAACAAAAACATCTTATGCATTTGTATACCTGTTATATCGCTTTAAGTTTTGTACGATTTCATCCTATTAAATACTGATAAGGAAAAGTAAGTGATTATGTACTATGACATATTGACAGTAGCACAGAACTCAGCCTCTCAAGCAACAGAGCATGCTGAGCCCAATGTGAAGCTTGCCAACATGCACCCAACTGTTAATGACAATTTACCTCATGTTTACACAAATGATGCTTCGTCAGTCCAATCATATGCGCAAGCTGCTATGGATGTTTCTGCTCATGCAAGAAGCATTGATTTATCACCAAACATGCTATTGCCTCAGCATGCAAACCTGGGAATGATGCAAGGACCAAATGGGGGGATGATCAACTCAGCTGGTTATTCAGGCAATTATGGTGGTGAGGGCATTCTCCAGCAGGCTCGTCCTGGAGTTGGAAATTCATATGTTGAGCCAAGTGTACAACCAGTGATTGAGGATCCCTGGGGTGTTGATACTTCTTCCTTTGGTTTCTTGGGAAAGATTCCTCGAAACTTCAGTTTCTCGGACTTAACAGCTGATTTTCCCAACACTTCTGGTTTGTGCTCCCTTCTCTTCTGGAGTAATATCGTCATCAATTTCACATTGTTATATGTTTTTACTTTCTATTCTATACAGAGATTCTAGAGGGCTACTCTGGATCAGCCTTTCTTGCAACAGATACCAACAACTTTTTGGATCCTCAGGATAGGGGAGAACAAGAAAATCAAGGTTAGTTGTGTGGCATCTGATATTGAGTTCTTTAGCTTAGTATATACCAATACTAATATCCGTCCCAATCTGGCAGCCATTAACGAATTGGATACTATATCAGAAGACGTGAGTTTTGACGATCTTTGCAGTGATTGAATGACTATTCAGATTACCATCTTGCAGAGTTAACCCGTCTATGTAATCTTATCAGGTTTAGGGGTATAGTTTATTTCAAGTCTTCTAACTTAATGTCCATAGCGAAGCAAGTTGTGCTTTAGACTGTTCGCTCTTTCTGTTAAATTGGTTTCTGAACCCATCAACATGGTTTTAGCTTCGTATTGACCTCAACGTTTGCTGGTCCAGTTGCTTGTAAATAGAATTGTGACTTTAAAAGTGCTTTGGTTTCTTTTGGTAGTATTGATTCATGTGGTTAGACTGAGAACACCCGCGCAAGGACGTGGGGTGGAAGGTACGTTCAGCCCCTGATACATTGATATTTCTTGATCCTTGCTTCTAGGGATAATGAGTCGGTTGGCTCTTAGAGTATAGCCTCTCTCAGGGTTAGTGATAAGAGTACACCGGAACACAAACTTCTTACCCCTCCCATTGACTAGCAAGTGTGCCATGATGACCGGCCTTACTTAGCTGCTCTGAATTCTATGGTGTGTTCGGTTTTCTCATGTTCGGTAGATCAAAATTTTTGAATAATATTTTCTCTTGGAAAATTTTCTTACAAATCAAGGAAAATGATTTTAAAAAAAAATTGAAAGTAGGGAAAACGAGTTTACTTCTGATGTTACATATTGATTGTGTCTTTCCACTCTCAGTACACCTCAACTTCACCGTCACCCATAGTTCCATCTCCACCACCCCACTTCAGTGTCACTTTTATAATATTTATTTAGATTATATACAAATACTTTTAGAATAATATTTATCGAACACAAGTAAAAACTTAACTTATTTTTCTAGTTCATATCGAACACAACTAATGTACTCCAACTTGCGATAGATGATACAAAGTTAGCGAAACAAAAAGTCTACTGGTTTTTTGTACAATGCATCATATGAATTGAAACATTGTGTATACCATCCTAATTAATCTATTATATATGTTTTATAAATATTGAGTGCGAATAAATTTTTATCATATACTATTTTTTTCTATGGACCATGTCTTTTTGTATATTTTTATCACTAAACTATAGTTAATATTCCATATTCTTTCCTAATTTAATATGTTAATATTGTATTTGTTGGAAAATACATGTTAGGAGACTTATGGGTTTCTCTTTTTGGAATAACATCTCCAATAACCTCGACTTCAGTTACCCATTATTTTTTTCTCTTTGTAAGCTCTAATCTCATAGTAGTGGAAAACTCGTGTTTCTTTGGACACTCATTATGATTATATTATATGCTGGAGGTAAGAAGATGATCAACTAATATGCTTATGGGTTAATAAAGTATGATTTGATATAAACATCATACACGGATAAATTTTGCCCAACAAGAGGCTGAAAAAACACATATAAATTATTGTTTTTCCACAAATTTTATATCTTAACTATCCATTGTTCTCTTTACCTATTTAAACTATCACTTTTTTTGGTATTAAAACACCTCAATGCTGAGTCGGTCAAATATTATTTCAATCGACAACAGACACGTGTAATCAACTGAACATCGAGGTGTATTTTAACGCAAAGGGAGTGATAGTTAATGTATAAACTCTCGGAAATGTAGCAAATTAGGTAGATAAATTGAAATATGAACTTTGCAAAAATATAATTGTTTAAATATGTTATTACAATTGAACTCTTAATATTTTGTACGAATATTTACACCATTAAGTTAACCTCCAATAGTCCTTTTCCTTTATTTACTTGTATTCAAGCCTGAAATAATTATAAAAAGATGATAATATGGACCCAATATGTAATTTTCAAGATAGTTTTGGGGGTTAAAATGAAACTAAACAAATCTCCTAAGACTTAATTGAAAATTTATAAAATCACCATAATAGCACAATCCAAAGTCTTAAGAAGGTTCCAGTGAGGCTCCATCAACCTGGGCGAAGCTCAAAGGTAAATCACCATCGGAAAACCCCTTTTCCCTTTTAATTTTTTGTTTTATTTTGTGGGTTTTGGTTGTTGGGGGGTGGGGTTGGGCAAAAATTGATTCTTGAACTTGGGATTTAGGTTTGGTTGAAGAAATTTAATCTGTGTTCTTGAATTCATGATTATACTAGATTCTCAATGTTGGAGGTGGTGGGGTTGTACTATACTGGATTCTTGATCTTTTTGAAACAAAAAAATTGAATCTTTTCTGTTAACTGAACATTTGTAAGGTCTTGTAAATGTTGCTGGGTAAATTGAGTTGGGGGGTGCGGGGGGGTGCTACATAAGTACTAAATTTTGAAGTTACTGATGGATATAAATATGAATATTTCATACAGAGAAGGTAATTTGGAATTTTGGATGATGCTTGAGCTTTGACATATGTGATTTTTATACAAGTAGGTATAGTGTATGTCTCTGTGTAGCAATGATAATGGCTATGTATCATGTCCTTGTGTACAACAATGTTGTTAGGTGCTCGCTATTTTTTTAGCCTTGGTATCTTATCATCTTGTTGTTGTTTATGCTTGTTGCTATTACCTTTTCTTTTTCACTGTTCGTTCTGTTCATTCAGCTGAGGGTCTATCGGAACTGCCTCCCTAACATTAGTTACAACAATGAGTTTGCTGCTGTTGTTGTAAAAAGACAGTGAGGACTTTTTTGTTAGTAATGTTATTAATAGTTGCGCATTTGGACCTGTGCCAGATTTGTTTCTATAAGTACTATAGTTCAGTCACAACTACATTAGAAGCACCAAATTGGTGCTGCAAAAGCTTTATGAATCTTTATTCTGAAATTGTCTAGTTTTGGTTCATATTTCTTGCCTACATGATGATGAATCTTGTAAGCAGTTAGGTTCTTAAGTTGACACTTCTTTTAAAATTCTGCAAAGCACCTCAAGGTGGTTAAGCACTTTATAACGGCTTTAGGCATTGCCGTATCAGTCAGAGAGAAAAATATAGTCCAGATATCTATACAGTTTTACCACCTCACTATGCAAATAAGAGATGATTCATTGTTTCATCCTCCTTTCCCGGCTCACATGGTTACATGTTTTTCAAATATCCAGCTTACAAGCTAGTATAGGTGTCCTCTTTCAATCCACATCCAGACAATCATTTCCTAACTTTGTGTGATCTGTTGGTTTTCTCAAAAAAGTATGTTCTGTGCATCCGATTCTTTGACTACTTCTAACCTCAAAGGCAACAACTTTGGCATTAATCTAATAGTTTTTTTTTTTTATGACAACATTAATCTAATAGTTATAGATACTTATATTTGAGCTACAATGAGTGGAAATTAGTAGCTCAATCAAGCTCATCTCGTTTCTTGAAGATGCATCTAGTCCATCCTGAAAATAAAAGGTTGTCAGGACATCTCTCTTACCTATCAGCTATCACCCAACATTTTTAATATAAACTCCGTTGTGCATCTATCCAACCTGGTAGCATATATCTCGTGAATTTTCTGCTTCTATGACTGCTTAACTCTCTACTTAAGTTTTCTCTTCTTCTACTAAACCTGCAAGATGAATTTCTTCCACTGTTGGAAGTAAAAGATTTCATTCTAATTCTCATTTGTGTTGTCAATTATTCTGCCAGTAATGAACAATTTGAAGATACTGTAGTAGCGGCGATGTGTATTTTCCAGTCTATACAAAATCTAGTGTTTTTGTCTGCTTCCTTGATCCACCATGTTCTACATTTTCATGTTTCCCTATTGTGTCCTTTCTTGATGCCAATCTTCTTAGTTTTCCTTTTAGCATTTCATGATAAATCCTATTCGTCAACTTCTTGGACTTTGAATCCAACCAGTTCTTTACTTGGTCTTCAAACCCTTCCTTTCAAAATGCATGTTCTCAAATCTTATAGGTGTCTAGATTATCTATCCAAATCCAGCATTTTTGGTAAGTGATCATACAGAAGTCTCAGTAGTAAGGACTCCCTTGTATTTGCATATTTCTCTTCCCAATTAACTGAGATTAAAATTGTTCGAGCTTGTAAAACTTCCCTATGTTTTCTCCAATCAGACCAAGTGAATCTTCCTCCTGTCAATGGAATCTCTTTCGGATCCATATCCAGAATTAAGTCTGAAAACTCCACTGTATTGAGAAGTTACAGGACTTATTTAATCTTTCTTCCAGAAAATGTGTCTCATTAAGTTACTCCCAAGACACCAGAGTACATTCCATAATCCTTTTGCTGTTGCTAAATCATAGAACAACTTCACCCGTTTATAGTTTGGATTACGTCCATGGACCTTGGAAGTCCCCAAGAGAAGTTGCTAATGCCAAATTCAAGCAAATAGGAAATAAAGTAATCCCCAGCAAGCTTCTCTTGACATGGTTAACCTCCTATCTTGCATATCTACCTTTCTAAAAACATTGGTGCTATGCACTCTGGCTTGTATAGATCATAGGAATTGCATCTATTTTGCAGTCACTTTTCTCTTTCCCATTTTCGGTGAACCTCTCTAATATTACAGCCAAGTCCCTCCCTGTTGTGTCATTTCCCAACTCCGTAATGATTACTTCCGCTACTCATATTTTTGCAACTTTGCTCCATGGGTCAAAAGAGCAGAAATCACTGGAGAGGACAGCTGTGCTGGCGCAATCCGATTCAGCCATCATCATGGTGTTCCAGCACGAATGTGTACACACACGAGCGCACACACATAATACCCTTTAACTACGTTAATTGGGTTGCAGCATGATTAGCACTAAGATGATATATTCGTGTCGCGAGTAATTTGCTGTGCTATCAAAATTATGTGAACTGTGGTTACCTCTTTTTCTAAAGATTCTGGTGAATTGCTTCTGCTTAGGTGAAATTTGCTGTTACTCATCATGGAAAGTTTAATGAAAGAGTATGCTGCTTTTGAAGAGAAAGTAAAGCGTACTATATTCATTGACAGCCTTTCACCTGCAGCTACTGAAGCTGTCGTTAAAGCTTCACTTGATCAATTTGGGAATGTCATTCAGGTCAAGTTTATCCCAAACTACCTTGAACCAAAGAACGTTGGACTATCTGCATTGGTTGAGCTGGAAAATGCAGACCAGGCGAAAACTATAATCTCCGAGATAAGCAGTTCCTCATTTATGATCTGTGGTATGCCAAGGCCTGTCAGGGCACGTGCTGCTGAAGCAGAGATGCTCGATGACCGTCCTATAAAACCTGGTAGGAAGATAGTATGCCGATGGTTGGACTCCAGCGATCCTGATTTTGAGGTCGCCAAGAAGATGA